GTAGTCATGTATTTTTAGTTTTGGTTTATTTTGACCCATATATTTTCAAAATATTTTCGAAATGTTTATATATTTTGAAAGTAAAAGGATTAAAAGTTAAAAATATATATATTAAAATGAATATTTTAGAATTACAGGAATGAAAAATGAACAAAATCTAAAATTATATGGACCAACTAAACTTTCTCTTGAAATTTAACTTGTACTAGAAAGGATCAATAGAATATTTCATGATCGTAACTAATTTTTTTTTTTTAGTTTAACAAATACGAGAGTTGGAAATTGAACCTTCAACCTAAAGGAAGGTAATATATGTCTTATCTATATTGAAGTATGCTCGAATTTGTCAGACATCATCACATACTTTAAGGTGTGTTTGAGAGTGATAGTAGAATAATGAGTGATTTTGAAAAAAAATAGATCTAAGTATAATAGATTTTCAATATCATCATGCAAGTGATACCTTAAAAATCAATTTAAAATGATTTAAMCTTTCATAAAATTAATTTTTTAATTTGTCAAACATGATAAATGGGAATTGAAGTGATTTTGACAATAGCAAAATTGATTTTGGCCATACCAAAATCACTATCAAACACATCAAGAGTGATTTTGAAAAATAAATTTTTTAATTTGTCAAAGATGATCCATAGAAAAGGAAGTGATTTTGACTATGCCAAAATCACTCTCAAATGCACCATTAGTGACGTCAAACTTATGCGATTCTATCCCATCTTTTTCATCCTGGCTTCTTTAACAGCGTGTTTTCCTCTTCTCTTTTTATCTCTCTATAATACAAAGGAGGATCATTAAAAATTGGGGAACCTAAAAAGTTTTTTTTTTCCTTTTGTGTTATACTTAAAAAAGTAAAAAGCTTAGAACTTGGGGGAATAAAGCGTAGGAGAATTTTCCAAGTTTGTTTATAATGAAAAGAAAAAGAAAGAAACTAAAGATGTAGAAATTTTATGGTCACATAAAATCAAGTTGTAATACAAAACACTGAGTCTCAACTAAGGTTAAAATTAAATAAAATCATTTGTTGATAAGATCCTATAGTGTTTTCCTTCCAGTTTAAACTTTTGGGTTGAGTGGCGGTTTATTCATCTTTTGGTATCAGAGCGTGAGGTCTGATATTATATTCAAGCTTTTATATTCGAACCTTTGCGTTGTTATTTCCTTCCCATTAATTATGACTTCCACTTGTTGGAATTTACAATAGGTAAAAAGACTTCAGTAAAATGAAGAATAAAACAAATATAGAAATATGTTAATTCGAGCACAAATCAAGGTGGAATCATTATAAATTGGAGACCTAAAAAGTTGTCCTTTATTTTTTTTATTTTTCTATTTATTTATTGTTTTGGTGACAATGAACAAAGATAAACTTATATGTAATATATGAGAGGAATTTGCCAAGTTCGTTTTTAAAAGGTAAAAGGAATAGAAAGTAAAGATAGTGTGTGGTCACTTAATATTCAAGTTGCAAAGCTATCACATAACAAAGAATATTCTATGAAAATAACAATCTCTCCCATTTAAATCCCAATTGGTGCATCCTCCTACAAAAAGAAGTAGGAATCGTTGGACCATTTATGCATATGGCATCGATTGTTTGATTCTCTTTTAACGCCTTGCTTGCAGTCCCCGCTCGTATAGACGATTTTATTGCAAAATTTGTGAATGTCTCTCTCTCAAGTAGCAGAAATGTGCTTTGGTGTAATGGATTTAGTTCTGTCCATTTGGTTCTTATGGTTGGAAAGGAATAAATGTCTCTTGTCACTAAAGAAGTTTCTAGATCAATAGCTCATTTATGGGACGATATTAAAATAGGAGCCTACTCTTGATCGTCTAAATCGACCTTTGTTGCGCCTCTGCTTGATAGCTAGATGATAAGTAATAATATGGAAGTATTCTAAATTCGTCTCCACATGGACTAGTTTTCTTTTAAGTAAATTTGCAAACTGCTTGAATGAGCAATCAAATTTAGGATAAAAATAACTGAAAAAAAATTGTTTGGAACACAGCTTAAAAACACGAGGAAAATAGAATTTAAAAAACCTACCTCCTACTACTATCTGGTTCTAAAAAGATAAATTACACCAACCAAATGTGCCAGACATATTTCCGCTCATTTTATGCAAACTGGTTCAACTACTATTCCATATCACTTTTGGTTTGTTTAGAAGTTTAGGCTAGCATTGACATGCGTCTATGAAACACTAGAATCCTAAATTAAGCAATTTCCAACTTAGGTTTAATTGGTAATAGAACTTATGTCTACGATATTGCTTTACTTGATGTTTTAAGTAACTTCCTGTTTTACTTGATGAACTCGTTTGATTCTAACATTTTCAGAATTAAATGTAAACTATTGTGATTTTAAACAAGTGGCCAACAAGAAAATCAACTGGATAAATTATATCAATCAAGATAAGCAAGAGAAGTATAATACAACGTGCTCGTTTAGGAAGGTTGAAAAAGTAATTTAGCTTGTCGTGGGAATAAAGAAAATGAAATCACAAGAGAAAATAACAAATAAATTTATTTTCATTAAAATTGGAAAATGAGTACAAAATTAGAACCAATCGAATCCCATTAAATTTTTTTTTTCTTTTAAGAAAAGGTATCATTTCATTAAAAAGCATGTGAGTAATTGCATTGAAATAAACAATGAGCCATTACAAAAGTAATTAAAGAACTAAACAAATATTGAACGCGGAAGAGAAAACAAAATTAGAAAGGAAGAACAAAAAGATGGAAGTTTGTTTGAAATCTCCTGGAGGCTCTCCTTTTGTTAGAGAATAGTTGGAAAGTTAGAACAAAATCTTTCACCAACCAATTTGACCTCATCTTGCATGATCTTAGGGAGAATAGAGTGGATTCGACGAATGCTCGGTCAAAATAAGTTGAAATGCCTGTTTTGATAATATGGACAAGAAATGCATCTGCCACATTTTGGTTGGAACAGTAGATTTCAGCAAAACGTGGCTGACACATTTGGGAGTAGAATTAACGCTGGATTCAGAATAGGGAGAGTAAGTATTTGTATACTTCTATTATATTTGAATTTCAATTTCTGAAATTTCTCACACTCACTATAATTCTGTATAGTGTGTGTATAGGTTTTTTTTTTTTACAGAATTATTATTTATTATTCTTTTCTTATAGTTGTAAAATTGTATTGTTCATTGTATATTATATTTTCATATTTGAGTTTTAATTTCTGAACTTTAGATTTGTATACTGTAATATATGGTTCTGTGATTATGTAGGTTTGCTATATGTAATATGTATACGGTTTTTTTTTTACATAAATGTTATTTGTTATTTTTTTCTTATTGTTGTATTGTATTGTATATTATATTTTCAGAGTTAATATGAAGACATCAAAGTCACCGCTAAATGCTACTAATACTCCAACCACTGCCACTGCCGATGCTGTTGAGCAAGATAAAGTCGTTGTTGACATTGATCCAGATKAAGCAACTTCCTTGAGTCCACCCACAAAGTGTAGGAATGTTAAGCAGTCTATAGTTTGGGATCATTTCGAAAAAATTGAAAGGTGACCATAAAGATCCCTATGCTAAATGTAAATATTGTGGGAATAAATATGCATGTCATTCAAAGCGTAATTGTACAAAACTATGAAAAATCACTTGGATAATTGTAAGAAATATCCGTACGAAAGCAAAAGAGACCAAACCCAAAAACAATTGGTTTTCAAACCTGAAGAAAGTGGCGCTTTTGAGGATTCTAGTTCAAAACTTGTGTGCGAGTCTTTTGATTTGGAGAGTTGTCGAAGGGCATTAGCTGAAATGATTATCTTAGATGAATTACCTTTTAAGTTTGTGGAGGGTCGGGGTTTTCGGAAGTTTATCAACCAATCAATAGGTTTACTTGAACCTAGGTTCGTTATTCCATCCCGATTTACCATAGGTAGGGACATTCTTAAGATGTATGTCAGTGAGAAGAAAAAATTAAAAGACGTCTTCATGAAAAAAAATACAAAGTTTCTCTCACCATCGACTGTTCGACTTCTAGACAGAACATAAATTACATGGTATTGACGACACATTTTATTGACTCTGATTGAACATTACATAAAAGGATCCTTAATTTTTTTCAAGTTGAGAATCATAGAGGGGATACCATTGGTAAGGCGGTGGAAAAATGTTTGAAGGTGTGGGGTATTGAAAAAATTATGACCTTAACTATTGACAATGCTAGTTCTAATGATACTACTGTCGCTTACCTTATCAAGAGATTTAGTCATGGATTGTTGATGAATGGTCAATTTTTGCATGTTAGATGTTGTGCACACATATTGAATCTCATTGTATGTGATGCTTTGAAGGACCATTATAACTGCATTGATCATATTCGTAATGCTGTACGATTTGTGAGGTCTTCTCCTGGACGGTCTATGACATTTAGGAAATGTGTTGAAATTGAAAAAATTTCATGTAAGAGTTCTGTATGTCTTGATGTCGTAACTAGATGGAACTCTACATATATGATGCTTGATGCTGCTACTAACTAACCTTCAAAAGGCCTTTGAGAGATTAGAGGATGAAGAGCCTACTTATACGACTAATTTACATCCTAGTAAAGAAGATTGGGTGAATGCTAGAATGTTGGTCCGATTCTTGAAAGTCTTTTATGAAATCACTTTGGAAATTTCAGGATCTTTATATACTACCTCCAATTTGATGTATCATCATATTAGCACAGTTCAAAATTGCATACAAAAGAATTCTATGAAGACTTGGAACCCAATTCTTTGTAATATGGCTAAGAGCATGCAAGCTAAATTTGACAAGTATTGGGGAAATAGTAAGAAGACCAATATATTATTGTATGTTGTCGTTGTGTTGGATCCACGTAGTAAGATGAAGTATTTGTCATATTGCTTCAGAAAGTTAGGGCCCGATGTATCTAAAAGTATGATAGATAAAGTGGAGCTTTTTTTAAGAACTCTCTTTCATCATTATAGTAGTTTTTGTTTGACTTCTTCCAATGGTAATGGTACTAGTCATAGTACACCACCGGTTGTTTGTTCGAGTACCACTATGGAGAAGATATGGATTTTGATGAAGGTAAGAATTTAATACATGATTTCTCAAGTGAAGAGACTACAACTTTTAATAATGAGTCAGAGATTGATGTGTATTTGTTGGAAGCTCTTGTTTCGTTAGAGGAACCTAATTTCAACATACTTCACTGGTGGAAAGAGAATGGTCAACGATTTCCAATTCTTAGCCAAATGAGTAGAGATATTTTGGCAATTCCAGTATCGACGGTAGCATCTGAGTCGGCTTTCAGTACTGGAGGACGTGTAATTGATTGCTATCGTTCTTCATTGGCTCCAAGAACTGTGGAGGCTCTTATATGCACTCAAAATTGGCTAAACTCTGACCCAATAGATCTTGAACTTCGGAAGCTCTCGTGATGGAAGAAGTATTGGTTCTACTTTTATTTATTTTATTTGTTTTGAAATATTTTCTTTTAAATCCTAACCATGTCGTCTTCTCTTCTTTGACTATAATTTTATAGGATTCAGAGTGATTATGGATGAGGAAAATAACATTGAAGAACTTGGAGATTTTTCAAAGTTGGTGATTTAATATTTGTGATATAAAAGTTGTTGATTTATTTTCTATGTTTGGATATGGACTTATGTATTAGACTATGATTTTATTTTCTATGTTTGGACATGGACATTGGACTTATGTATTAGACTATGATTTTATTTTCTATGTTTGAATTGACGTATTTTAGATTTAGATGACAACTTGGAAGTAATATATATATTTTTTAATTTGGATCTAATGTCTTTTAAATTTCTATTAGAAGTAAAACTACTAATTATTTTAAATGATTATTTGGAATTTGATGATTCATTTTAATATTGATTAACTAGCAATTCTAGCATAATTAATTGTCTAATTGTTATCAAATATTCAAAATTATGAAAATATTCTCGTAACTTTACGGTTAAAAATTCAACTATTAAAAAAGAACACCCAACCCAAATCATCAACAAAATCAAATTTTAAATATAAAATGAATTAAAAATTATTCAAAAAATGAAAAAATAAATAAATTAAACTGACAAAACCGACAGACCGAACCGACCGTTCGGTCGGTCGGCCGCATAAGCATGTGTCGGCGTGGTCGGTTTTCCATAGACAACACTTTTGGCGTTAGTTTATGTTGTCTTTTGGGACGAATGACATCAACATTTTCGACGATGTTTTTTTATTTCATTTTTCGTGTTTGTACCATTGCTTTTATCTGGAAAAAAAAAATTATTTCATATCTTAATAGTATATCAGAAAACATATTAGAGGTAATATGTTCGAAATAATTGGTAGATATCATAGTTGTATCAAAAGTAAATCAATTTCATATCATATTTATATCAAACATATATCACATATATATCATGAGTATATCTGTCAATCATAGTTATATCAGAAGTAAATCAATAGTATATCAGAAGTCAATCAGTTCTATATCACCTATAGTAGTAGATATCATAGTTATATCAAACATATATCACATATATATCAGTAGTATATCTGTCAATCATAGTTATATCATTAGTAAATCAATAGTATCAGAAGTCAATCAGTCCTATATCACCTATAGTAGTATATATCATAGTTATATTAGAAGTAAATCAATTTTATATCAGATGTATATGAAACATATATCACATATATATCAGGTCTATATCTGTCAATCATAGTTATATCATAAGTAAATCAATAGTATATCAGAAGTCAATCAATTCTATGTCACCTATAGTAGTAGATATCATAGTTANATGAGTATATCTGTCAATCATAGTTATATCATAAGTAAATCAATAGTATATCAGAAGTCAATCAATTCTATGTCACCTATAGTAGTAGATATCATAGTTATATCATAAGTAAATCAATTTCATACTATATGTATATCAAACATATATCACATATATATAAGGAGTATATCTGTCAATTATTAGTATATTAAAAGTCAATCAGAAGTAATTTATTGTTGGTTCGGACCTGCAGGGTATACTTGTAATTTAGAACGTGGGCCTCCGTTTTTTTGTAAAAAAAAATGTTATATTTGAAAAACTCAAACCTTATTGTTATTTTGCTTATTTTCCTAACTTTTTTTTGCCATATCTCAAGTTGCCCCAAAAAAAACCCCTAACAATTTAGATTGAAAATTTGGTGATCATATATGAAAAACACTAGACATGTTCATTTTAATTTAGGGCTAGTTCTGGTCATTTGATAACTATTTTGGTTTTTTATTTTCTATTTTTCAATTAAAATTTGGTGTATAGAAATAAAGTTTTTGTGGATGCAAAATATCATCGGCAAAAGAATAAAAAATGTTTGGGAAACATCTTTCTCCCTTTCTTTGTTTTGTTATCTCCTTTTTAAAAAGGTTTTAATTTTTCAAAACTATGCAAAGTTTTGGGAAAAAAAATAAAAAATTAATTTTTATTATTGAAATTTGGCCTAAAATTTAAATACAAAGAAGGTAAAAACATACCCAAAGAAAATTGTGAAACAACGAACATAAATTTTAAAAGCAAAATACTAAAAATTAAACTGTCATCAACTGACACTTAATTAAGTTTCACGGTCCTATTTACTTACTCGTAATCGTAATGGAAATCAATCGTAATGAAAATCAATCGTAATGAAATCAATCCGAACGGAAATGTTATTTCATTGATATTGTTTACTTAAACATATATGGAATCGAAATAAAAAACCAATTCATGGTGTTTACTTTCATCTGGAATCGTAATCAGACATATGCTGATTATCAAAATACCCTTATATATTTATAACTAATATAAAATTACATTAATTAAAAAGGATGTTATGAGATTTTTTATATTGAAAAAAATAATTATTTATAATAATTTTTAGATCTACTTATATTATTTTACTTAATAGTAATAAATTATATATTTTGCATTTAAGTCTAAAATTTTTTTACACTTTATTTGATATTATTATTACATTATTTATTATAATAAACATTATTTTGCCAATTCAATCTAAAATTAAATAATTTTATAATACAAACAGGCAAATGAGAAGAGGAAATGCGACAATGGAGCAGTTGAAAAAATAACCCTAAAAGAAAGCAAAAAATCGTGAGTGGGTGTAATGGGATTGCCCATTTTTCGGGGAGTGATTCCAAAATTTGGAGTGGGGCCCACGTTTTATTCTCATTCATTTATTTTGGTAAACATAATCAAACGTAATGAAAATTTTGATTACGATTGCGAGCAAGTAAACGGGATCTAATAGAGAAAGATTAGGTCGGGTGCTTGCATATATGGGATAACAGGCTATTTGATGATGTCTACCCATTATTTCCTATCGTTAATATTTGCAAATATGATGATGTGAATATTACCGCGTATTAAAATTTATTTAAAGATCACATAGAACAATAGAAATCTGGTGTACTCCTGAAAAATAAGTCTCACCTTTGCAGTATAACTACTCCAATAATTTTTCTGCTCTATATTCAGCGAGTAAAGTTTTAAATATCGATGTCGAGGTCGACGAAAGATGTTGAGATCTCAATTTTACAGAAATGTCAATAGAAATATTGATAAAATGTAGATGTCAATGAAAATTTTCGGAAAATCATAAAAATTATAAAAAAAAAGTATTTATATTAATAAATAATCATTTTACACTTTAAAATCAGTTGTAATTTGTAATTATTAGTATTAGGTCCACCTCACAAAATGACCGCATAGCGTAGTGGATTAGCGCGTTTGACTTCGGATCAAAAAGTCATGGGTTTGACTCCCACTGTGGTCGTCTACATATTAACAAAAAAATATTTTTGTAAAATCTCATTTTTTAAATAATCAAATTATTACGATGTTACTCGAATTTTAATTTTCTTTTAGTACAACACGTGGAAATAAATTGTAGAGATACATATGAATAGGTAATATCTAGAGAGGGANTTTTAAATAATCAAATTGGTTTTAAATTATATTATATATATATATATATATATATATATATATATATATATATATATATATATATATATATCTTGAATAAAATGATCGGCATACCTTTAGTTTAAAGCGTCTTATTAAAAATATTTATAATAAAAATTCTTTTAATTCTGCATTTGGTCACATATTTAAAAAAAAATGTTCTACTTTTGGCTATAAAAGGGCTCCTGCTTGGAACATGGATGAGCAGGGATGTCCTGAAAATGGCTCAGATTGCTAAGATCTCAGAGCAGGTGCAGCTCAAGTCTTGTGGCCACAAATTCTATGAGTTTCTAAAGAACAAAATGGACTACTTTCCAAGAATGTTCCCTGGAAACATTGAGAGCTATAAGTTTGCGGAAGGAAATAGTTTCACTCATGGCAGCATCTCCCACTGGAAATATGACATCGGTCTCGGTGAGATATCCTCCCACTTTGATTCCTAAACTTTCAAATATTTTTAATCCTTAAAGGCAGTTCTACTAGCAAGGACATGCAATCTCTAGGTAAGACATCTATTGCAGAGATCGTATATTTGAACCTTAAAAGTTCTTAATGTCTCTCGAGTCGTGTTTTGAGGCAAGCACAGATGCCTGGGATAGGAGGACTGAAGCTCAAATTCTGAATCTCATAAGAAAAAACATGTTTTAATCTACACACCTATTGAAAATATGACATGAGTTAGTTTCGATTGATTAGATACCTCCTTACTTCATCTTAGATTAAAAAAATGATGTAAAAACATTTGAATCTTAAAATTTCCTCCCTAATTTGGTCATCATTCGCTAAATTTTCATAAGTGAAATATTATACATATATTATACTTCACTTATTAAAATTTAGTATTATATATATATATATAAAAAGTACATAGAGAAACTTTATCTTTTCATTTTATTTTTAATCATTTTTTATTATTATTTGGATGAAAATTTTGTCATTCATCTCTCCCATCTCTCTTCAAATTCTTTAAAATTCCACTAATTCTCTCTCTTTCTCTCCACTCCATTCTCTCTCGATTCCCCTCAAATTCCACTTCTCTCCCCCCTTAATTTTCAAATATATTTTCTCTACCTTTACAAATTCCACTTTTCTTAAATCTCTAAAAAAAACTTCATTTATCTCTCACTTAATATTTTCATTTTTTTTCCATCCGCTACTCTTTTTTTCCGCCCATCCAAATACCTTACTCAAATTATCATTTATTAAGTTTATTTAAATTTTGTAAATATTGAAAGATTATTTAGATAAAAATATCGATATTTATATTTTTGAATGACAAAATTGCTCTTAAAATAATAGTAATAAAATGATAAATTTCATGTACATCACACGTGTTGCTCACTAGTATAAATAAATTTATTCTTTCCCTCCATGTGAAAACTTTCGAATGTTTTAATAGTGATTCAGCTATTGATTTTGGTAGGAAAACACTCTCTCTCAGTCCTAAACTTTCAAGCGACGTTTCAACTTTCAAGCAGTTTATTTTCGTTCCTTCTCGCATCGTTAAATACGTATGTCTTTATATCAACTCAAATTATTGGGTTCGATTTTTGGTGGAAACAAACATATATACAGGTAGCTCAATCGAAGTAAAGATGAGGCTAATTGTGGATGAGCCTAACAAAACAATAATTTATGAGTGTCTTGAGGGAGATCTGTTCAAAGATTTTGAAATGTTCCAAGTGAAAATTGAAGTTAGCGATGGTGAAGGCAACAATGGCATAAGCTCAGTTAAATGGTCTTTGGAATTTGTGAAGGCAAACGAAGAAGTTCCTCCACCACATGACTATCTACAACTTGGAGTTAAAGTGTGCAAAAGTGTGGATGCTCTCCTTTGCAACAATTGAACTAAAATGGGGAACATTTGTAGTACTCTCGTAGTACATAATTCCGCTGTTTAGCACTCTGAATTTCTCTTTATAAATAATTCTTGAATGTTGTTGAACCCCACATCATTTAAAATAATAAACGAGATTAATACCCATACTATACTGTGATATCCGACTAGATAGGAGAGGTCCATGGAATGAACCGATACCACATCTGAATTAGAGAGATCCTGAGACCATGTAACCATGGTAAGAAAAGGCTTAAAAAAATTGATAGTTATTACCTATACTAACAAGGTGCACCTTACTTTTCGATTTTTCGGTGGTTCAATCGTAAGAACTCCAAAGTTAAGCGTGCTTGTTTTGATACAACAACATGTGGAGGTGGAGATTCGAAGTCACGATTTTTTGATCAGAGATATATGTCTTGAACTATGTTATCATTAAAATATGACATTTAAAAATTGATGGACTAGAATAAAATATTTTATAGTTTATCACTTTACAGTTTTAGAAGAAAAAAATGAAGTAAGAAAGTTTGGAGGAAAAAAAGTGTTTAGACCTTCGTAAAACTAACAAAGATGTAATTAAGTCATATATCTCACTTATCACATCTTTAAAAAATCATATGTATACTTCTAATTATATCTTTCATTTCACATTTGTTGTAAAAAAAATATGATCCGGATAAAATAGAATTATAGAAGGTAAAACATAATTATGAATTTATATTTATCCAAAGAAAAATAATTATCAATTTATTGAAAAGATGGAATACACATTAATTAGTAATAATTACTATAATTATCTTTGTAACAAAAAACTAATTACTATAATTATAATCAATAATATCTAGGTAGACTATTCCGTCAATCATTGAATCAAAATGTTTTGATAATCTTTGTTAAAGTCAATCAATGTTAAATAATTTTTTTAAAAATTTACAACTATGACAAAATAGCCACATGGATTTGTTGATTATATATATATAGAGGAGAATTCCAACCTTTAATAGGTGATTGTGTCTTACTAACTAAACTATGTTTATGTTTTCGGAATGGAGTTTTTGATTCTCGTAAATGTATTTTTTGCTCTCTAAAAAATGGAAGTATGGAAAGATGAACTCTGATATATCAAATGGTCTCCAATTTTTTTAACCAGTTTTCAATTTGATTCTTAAATTTTTTTTAAAACTCTCAATTTACCCAAAATGTAATAAAATATTTCAACTAAGTAAAATATGATAAAATATGAAGTTATTATTTTCATAAAATACTTGGATACATGGGCATATAGCTTTACATTGATGGCATGATCAGATTTTGTTGGTGCACTAGTTGAATTACACTGAAATAACATTCCTTTAATGTTCGAATTTGTCAATAAAACAATAATTCAATGATACATCAAATTTTACCGAACAAATGTTTACAATTTTTTTATGGGACGATACATTGAGAATTTTTTATACATTGAAATTAAAATTGAGAATTTTAAAATATTAAGTACGTAATTGAAAATTATCTAAATGAATGATTTAGGAACGAGGTCTCGATTGATTTCCCTTCCTTTAGCTACTCAGATGTTTCAGTTCGCTAAGTTTGAAAAGTCCAAAGAGCGCAGACTAGCCACGGAGCTTGGATATGGTTTCCCGATCGGAGATCCATGGATCACAGACGGTATCTCCCCCTGGCCTTTCGCCTCTGAGAGCGTCCATCCTTCTCGATGTCCGGGCATCCATCCAATGCATTCTTTTCGATCTTATACCGACGGTACACGGAACATCTTCATTCGTCATATTCAGCCTAATTAAAAATTATTTTCACGTATCTACAATGTTTCTCATTAATTCTTATCGATGATTTTCATCACTTTCTTCAGTGTGAAGCTTTTGGGATTCTCTTCTATCCTCTTATATTAGAATCTCTCTCCGATGTCAAAATCATTAATGTATTTCTTGTTTTTATTTTCAGTTTTTGAGTAACACATATGTTTACAAATTGTTCTGTTATTTAATTTGTAATTTAAAAAATTTTCTAAAATTGTGTCTAAATTTTGGAAATAACACAGTCAAATTGCTTGTGTTTCTTGTTCGTTTTTTTTCAAAAACAAATAAAAGTATTATTTTATCATTCTTGACTTATAAAATGCATAATAAGTATTAAAAATAAAAATATTGACTATTTAATTTAAAAATATAAATTTTCACATAAAAAGCTAACCTTTTTTTAAATTTTAAATTTTAAAGAACAAGAAACAATAAATTATTGTCAAGTATATTTCTGTTTATTTTTACAAAGAAACAACAAGAAATAAGAAACAATTACTAAACGAAGTTATGTCTTCATTTAAAAAAGAAACGAAAAACAAGTGTTAAGGATCCCACATTGAAAACAGAGTAGACCTAACAATGGTTTATAATAGACATGGGCTACTCATCTCATTGTCAATTGGTTTTGAGATTAAACCCATAAATATTGATATAGTATAGAGCCCGTTCAAACGAGCAATCGACCCAAAAATGGGATCCGGCCAAGAGAGAGGGGACGAGATGCAGAGAATATATAAAGTTTTGGAGTGGTCACAGTATCAAATTGCAACCTATAAAACAGCACAAAGGGTATAATTCTCACAAATATCTGCAGTATAAAAACCCTACTTTGGCTTCTCACAAAACATCATATTATTTTCTTCACTTGTTTCTAATTTTGTTGCTATATATTTTGAGTTTGAGTAATGGCTCAGATTGGAAAACTCAGTGTTGCGGTTCAAATGAAATCCTCTGCTGAGGAATTCTATGGTTTCTTTAGGAAGAAAATGGACCATTTGGTTCAAATGTTCCATGAGAAGGTTAAAAGCTTCAAATTCCTTGAAGGAGATGACTTCACTCCTGGCTGCCTCATGCACTGGTCTTATGACATTGGTAAGCCATATATGAACCCTAACTAGAAAGTTGTGACACTGGTCTTATGACATTGGCTCCAATACTCATGAATTCAAAAATGATGAAACTATATTTTTATTTATGTTTTCGAATAATTAGGAAACGGGAACGAAACAAGAAAGTTGTTATTTATTGTTTCCAAAATTTCTATACAATTTTGAGGATGTTTCTAAAAAATGAGAAAGAAGGAAAATACATATAGTTGTCAAATATCTTTGATTTCTTAATAAAATTAAAAACAATAAACGAGAAACGAGAACGTTACCAAACGAGTCTTAAAAGAACCGTTTCGGGACTAGCAAATTCTATCCCTAAACTGAATTGACTGACTTTTTGTTAATTCGTTTTATATCAAACATGAATTTTGCTTCTTAACCTCATGGACGTAGATAAAGTTTAGTGTGTGAGTCGAATACTCTCTCCTATTTATAGATTTTATCACGACTTTTTCTTAACTCGAGCTTCTTAAACCTAGGGTTATGAAACTTAGATTATTTGCACATGACTTGTGTATTTTGTGTTTGGACCATAAAAAGAAAGAATCCTAAAAACTTGAGCTTGTGAAGCAAACGTTTTGCTTTTATAAGTTTATAATTTACAAATTATTTACTCGAATCGGTAATTTAAGATAATTAATATATAGGATGTGAAGAATGATGAATTTCATAATTGGTAAAGCTAATTAAGTATATGTAACTCTTGTTGATTAGCCAATTAAACTTATATAACTTCAGATATATTATAGACATAAACTTAGAGTTTTATAAACTTCATACTATGCAAACCTAATCGATCTATGAGTCAAATACACTCTGTAAACCTTAATATCTTTTCAAAAAAAAAAAAGAGAAAAAAATACTATATATACACTATATATACATATATACAACTGTTCGTTTTTATAACAAAATTTTTTCCAATTTCGGGGGTCGATAGACTGTCCCAAAAGAGGACTGCAGAGTTCGCATGTACGTTGACTTTCGTGACCTTAACAAAGCGGGTCCCCGAACTACTGTCCTCATCCTTAAAAAGGGTTTTGCTGGAACTCCATCCTTTTGAGATTCCCCAACAGAGAGCCGGATGAGGGGAGACCTTCACATCTGATTCGGAGGCAGTCGATTCGTTCAGTACCCTCCATAAACAGAGTCCAAAGAGAAGTAGAGCCCTCGATCATAGAGTAGTTTGAAACTATATATATATATATATATATATATATATATATATATATATATATATATATTCTTTAAATAATTGTATTGAAAAAAGAAACAAAAACATGTTTTGTAATTATTTCTTGTTTTTTTACTCTCTAAAATTTTAAATTAAAAAATAAAATTTTATTTGATAATTAATTTTTTAAATTAAATATTCAAAATTTTTATGTTATATTTATTTTTTAATACTATTATGCATGTATTTATAAGTCAATAATAATAAAATATTACTTTTATTTATGTGTTAAAAAAATATAACGAGAACAAGAAAAAAAGAAAAATTTGACTTTATTATTGTTTCTATAGTTTCTACGTTTCTAAAATATGAGAAATGAGAAACAAAAGATAAGGAATCAAAATGTTATATAAGCCCTCCTAAATAATAATTTCATAGCTCAAAAATCACTGTGTGATTAGAAAGGGTGGCATTGCCTGCAGTTGGTCCAGCAGAAGCGAAGGCAGAAGTGGCAGATTTGGATGAAGAAAACAAGTCAATCACATACCAAGTTGTTGAAGGAGATATACTAAGCCAGTACAGCTTGTTCAAGATAAAGTTCCAAGCCTCCGACGATGTCGTTGGATTGGGCGCCACCGTGAACTGGTCGATCGAGTTCGAGAAGGCGGACGAGAACGTTCCCTCCCCAGAAGTTTACCTGGAATTTCTTTCTAAGATCTCCATGGGAATTGATGCCTATCTTGCTACGACTAATTGAACATGGCCTTTAAGCATTATGAATGTAATTGAACTTGAATAATGGTTGCTTTCCAATCTATATGTTATCTGGATGACGTTGAAAGAATTTGAATTCGAACTATTGCTCCTTAGAAATAAGACTTTTTCGATGCTTCAAAATGTTGGAAAAAGAAGAAAAACATCACAAAAAGATTTTTCCAACGAAATATTTTCATCGGGACAAGGGTTGGGATACACGGTTACAAAACTGGTATTCTATCACAGTCATGTACAGTAAAAAAAATTTTAAGGAAAAAAACTATCACGAACAGTGATGGCGCATTTTTTGTGGGAAAAAATACTATCTATCGAATTTTTAAAATTTTATGATAGTTTTTAACTTGTCACGAAAATTTGAATTTTTTCTTTAATTTAATGACAGTTAAAAATTGTCACAAAATGATAAAGTGCGATTTTGGCAGGAAAAAACGCTAGTTTTCGGATTTTGTATAAATCGTGACAGGTAAAATCTGTCACCAAAACTGGATTTTTATTTTATTAAATGACAGTTAAAAATTGTCAAAGAATGGTAGAGACGCAAGGCGGGAAAAAACGTTACTTTCATATTTTTATAATTTTGTAACAGTTAAAAACTATAAAACTATAAATTTTTCTTTGATGAATGACAGTTATTTTTGTAAATTTATTTTTTTAGGATTTCATTACAACTAAAAAAAATATGATATATAGTCTTGTCATCATTTTCAGAAATAAATAACATTTTTTAACCGTCACAACTTTATTTAACCATTTTTGATCGATTATACAAAAAAAAAATTGTCACAGATAGTTTCGAGCTCGTTTTCCTTTTTGCAAGAATTCAATACTTTCTCTTACCCTCTATTTGGCATCGGAAAAATTGGCCCACTCACGATGAAAATTTGAAAAATGTCAGGAGTAAGCCGTTTCTCCCGACGTTTTATAAAATGTCGGCAAAGCATGCTCACAGCGTTTTTTGTTGGGTAAATATACGTTGTATATGTAAACTGAATAACACTAGCAACAATTTACAACATAACTGGTTACAAACAATTATAGATCTTGACAGCTTTATGAACACAAAAACTTTACAAAATATAGTCGAAGCATGCTACAATAGCGCTGACCTGAAGATAATTATTCACTCTGCACAAGTTGCTAGCAGACTATAGCGATCGTAATACAACGACTAACTCCGGTAGAATTGCAACCTCGAACTACTCGGATCTGGCAGAATTCTTAGGTACTTGCCTCAACACAAACAAGAACAACAACTCAAAAGAAGAGAGAACTCTTGTGGGACGAGGAGAATACCCAATTGTGGTATGCTTCGATATCTCAAAAGAAAGAAATCCACAACTATATATAGTTGTCCAAGCATGTAACCTATCACACAAAATTAAACACATATGTAACATTTTGCATATGTTACATATGTAAATTTAATGTATATAAAGTTACAAATTAACACAATAAAGAAACAACTTTTCCATTTAAATAAATAACTCCAAATTTAATATTAAAAGAAACAAAACCACAAGCATATTCACCACGTATATGTGAATAAATTTCTTGCACTTTCTTTCGCACCTTTAAATCCAACATTTTACACACAAAATCAATTGGGAGTAAGCCTTTCTCCCGACTTTCTTTAACTTTTCGTCCGGAGAAAGAGTTTTCTACTTCTTGGGAGAAATATATTATTTCCTGATGCTTTTTAAAAAACATCGGGAGATACTAACTTCTCCTGATAAATATTTGATAAGCATAAGGAGAAATTGGAAATTTCACGCGAAATTCCAAGAATAATGTTCCCTGGAAAAATTGAGAGCTGTAAGTTTGTGGAAGGAAATAGTTTCACTCATGGCAGCGTCTCCCGTTAGAAATATGACATGGGTTTCAGTGAGATTCGCTTGTTCCTAAATTTTCAAATGTTTTAGCCCTAAGGGTAGTTTTGTTGGTAAGGACATGCAGTCTCTAAGTAACACATATCCAGAGATCACATATGTTCGAGCCTTTGGATGAGATTAATAAAAAAAAAAATTGATATGATCTTTTAGGTCTACGCTTTGGGACGAGTATAGGTGCCCTAGTATAAGAGGGTGAAGCTCCAATTCTCGAGTCTTGTAAAAAAAAAGTGTGTATGTTTTAATTGACACACCGAACTAGAAATATGTGACATGGGTTTCAATGAGATATCCTCCTTGATTCGTGTTAGATTAAAAAAATATATATGTAAAAGCGTTGGAATTTTAAAATTTTCTTTCTAATTTTATCAACCTTCACTAAATTTTCATACCATCTCAGTTAAATGGTCTTTAGAATTTGTGAAGCAAATGAAGAAGTTCCTCCACCACATGACCATGTACAAGTTGGAGTTAAAGTGTGCAAAAGTGTGGATGCTCTCCTTTGCAACAATTGAAATAAAATAGGGAAGATTTGTAGTAATCTCTTACCACGTAATTCCTCTGTTTGGACTATAAATTTCTCTTTATAAATAAATTCTTAAATGTTGTTGGACTCCACATCATTTAAAATAATAAACGAGAATAATACATATATTATGGTAGTAGGCTTTTTTTTCTAATATTGTTTTTTCTTAGATATTTCAAAAAATATATATGCTCTCCACCAAATTATTTYCAAAAATAATATTCAGGAAATAGTTGATTTTCTTTCCAGAGGACAGCCTGATTTTAGCTACGCATTGGAGACGGATTTATAACTATTTTTGTTTTTTAAAATCTTCTTACTCATACGTGGCCACCTATTTACCAGCATGGTAATCTCTTCGACGTGGCGCCACATTTAGTTTAGTGATCGTCTCTTAATTTTACGAGCATAAATAGTTTGGTAGAAAGCATAGTACTCTGGTAGTATAGAAATTTTCGCTCTTAAAAAAAATACTTGGGCTTGGTTGTTGAAATTAATATCTAATTAAAAAATTGTGTTGGGTTCAATATGATAAAAATAGAAATTGAAGGTAAAATAAAATTATGAATTGTTTAAAAAATGGGGTACACATTAATTAGTGATAATTACTATAATTTTCTTTTGAAACAGTAATAATTACTACAATTATCTATTATAAGAAAAATAATTACTATAATTATAATCAATAATATCTGGGTTATTCCATCCAATAAAAATGTTTTGATTATCTTCGTGAAAGTCAATAAATGTTTACCCTTTAAGTAATTGGTATGTAATCCTCCCTTCGAGACAGGAGGTTTAATCCTCCATATTCCCAAATTGTTATTCTAAAAATAACAAAAAAAAATCAATCAATCAATGTTTAAATTTTTTTTTTTAGTTTGCAACTATGACTAAATAGATACGGTTAAGCTTGATTCGTTACTGTTAAAAATTATTAGATCTAATTTACTAATAGAAGATCTAAAATATAACAGTTAACAAATGTAATCTTAAAACAGCCCAACCAAAACAGTGTTCAACAAATCAAAGAATGAGAAAGATAAAAAAAATAGAGGAGTTTAAGGGGAGGGATGGACACACAAATTTAAGGTGGTTCGATCAAAAAGATCTACATCCACTGTTGAAAGTCATCTTATTCACCAATGATCATGAAAACAGCAGTATCACACAAAGAATCAAAGCATCACCCACTGGTAGACCGTGCTTCTCCTCTGCATACACTCCTTTGGAATTTCACTGCTTCTAATCACTAATTTCTGCTATACCACCAGCTTCCTCAAGCTCGAAACAGAGATTTGAAAACCCTAGGGAAGAAGAGAATAAAACTTCAGCCGATTATAAAATGTCCCACAATCTCTCCCGTTCTCACTCACTCTCTCTCACTACCATAATCCAACAAACTAAATAGGAAAAGGTGTAACAAACTGTCCCCGTCTGAGCTGGAGAAATAAAAGGAGCTTAGAATACCACCTGTCCACCTTGGTGTACAACAACAGAAATAGTAAAAACCAATTAGCTGTCAATAAATAACAGTTACTATTGTGTAATTTTTTTTTTAATACAACATGTGGAGATGATCGAATTCACAACTTCGTGCGGTTGAGATATATATCAATTACCATTGAATTATGTTTGCTTTGGCATATATATTTTTTTTATTTGAACAATGATAGGAGAATTCTAATATTTGACCTTTCAAGAGATATATGTAATTGTATCTTGACCGATTGAACTATGTTAATATTGGTAAATAGAATTTTAGTTCTCATAAATTGATTTTTTTTTCTCTCGGAAAAATGTAAATATGGAAAGATAAACTCATAATTTCCAATTTTTTCCTTTTCTTTCTTCAACTTCCAATGGTCTCTCGTGTCATTTAATGCATTCTATATTTCACAATGATAAACTTTTAACAATGACATTTTCTATCCTAGCCAAAGTGTTGAGGATAGCTCAATGATCGAGATACCTTGGTTGTTTGAATCTCAACCCAAAATTTATATCAACAAAATATATATATATATATTTTGCTAAGAAAACATCGATATCCAAAATAAGATTTTCGTGGCTAAAATTACGACGAGTTGTTGGACGGTTAAATATATCGAAATGGTCTAACATTTTAGATATTTCTCAACTTCATTCTTTTTTTTTTTTAATTCTCAATTTTACTTTTAATGTAATAAAAAGATTAATTAAGTCCTTGGGTAGAAAAATATGGTAAAATTAAGTTATTATTTTGTTAAAATAATTAGATATATGGACATAGCTCTATGTTAAGCATCCCGCATTGAAAAGAAAAGGGACCTAAGAATGGTTTATAATAAACATGAGTTACTCCTCTCATTGCTAATTGGTTTTGAGATGGAACCCGATCCCATGAATATTGATATGGTATCAAAGTCCAAAACGCTCACGGATTGATTAGCCAAAAGAGCCACGATCTTTTTGTTGAGAGTGTTTTGGAGTCACACCATAAAGGAAATTAACTGCTCGTTTGGTAAGGTTTCCGTTTCTTGGTTCTGTTTCTTCCGTTTTAATAAAGAAAAATAGAATCACGACAAATAGAAAACGGGAACAAGAAATAAGAAATAAAAAACTTATGGCCGGTTTGATTACGTTACTGTTTCTTTATTTTTAATGAAGAAAAGCTATCAACTCTTGCAGTGTAAAATTT